GGCCGGATAATTCTTTGTTGCAGGGGTTGTCCTGTGCATCGTGGGATGTTTAGCAGAATCCCTGGCCTGTACCAATTAAATGCCAATAGCAATCACCCCTCCCCGAGTTGTGAGAAGCAAAAATGTCTCTGGACATTGCCAAATGTCCCGTAGCGGGGACAAAATAGACCCAATTGAGAACCATTGCCTCAGAGGAAATATTGGGTGGGTTTTGGAGATTCAGAAAGGGGACCTAACATGTGCAAAGATACAGGTGCATTAGATCTATGCTTGATAATCAAAATAGATAATATTTATTTTGTACTCTTATGTACTAGGGAAACCCTGGTGATGTAGCGGTTAAGAGCTACAGCTGCTAACCTAAAGTTTGGCAGTTCAAATCCACCAGGCGCTCCTTGGAAACCCTGTGGGGCAGTTCTACTCTGTACTATAGGGTTGCTATGAGTCAGAATCGACTCAACAGCAACGGGTTTTATTACGTACTAGACATTAGTCAAGTGCACTGCCTACATGATCTCATTTATCCTCCTACAACCTTACGAAGTACGCATTACTACTTACCCAGTTCCCCTTTCTTTGAGGGTAGTGAGGCACAAGGAGACTAAGAACTTACCCAGGATTATCCAGCAAGCAGGGCCAGTATTTAGTTTCAGATCAAGTGGACCCAGGGTGCAAAGCCCATGCAATTTCCAGAACACTGTATTACAATGAGTTGATAGGTCTGGAGCAAAGAGTGCATGCAGGGGTTTGAAAAGACACGAGGCTGAAAGACAAAGGCCCATTTACTACCTACAAAAGAGATTGATTTAAAAGTGAAAACAATGGGGGGAGTTCCTGAAATATGTTCAGCAAAAGAGGGACATAATAGAAAGAACCCAGTGGCAGCAATAAAAAGGATAAGTAGAACTGATGGGTGCAGGTTTAGAAACAGGGAGAACTAGTAGGAAACCACTGCAGTAGCCCAGATGAGCATTGTGGAGGCCCCAACTAGGGGGAAAAAGTAGGAGTGAATATCCAGTTAAAAAAAAAAAAAAAAAAAGTCATTGAGTCGACTCTGACTCAAGGTGACCTCAAGTATGTCAGAGTAAAACTCTGCTCCACAGGGTTTTCAGTGTTTGGTTTTTCAGAAGTAGATCACCAATCCTTTCTTCTGAGGAGCCTCTGAGTGGACTTGAACTTCTAATCTTTTGGTTAACAGCTGAGTGTATTAACTATTTTCACCACCCAGGAGCTCCGGAGTGAATACTCATATAAAAATCTGGTGGCTGACTGACCTGGTGACTGATGGAAAATAGCAGCTGACTGTCTCCGAGCGATTTGTGAAGTATGAATGTCAATGATTTGTCATAGGCGCGGCATGTTTCCCCTTTCTTCTTTTTCATTCCCTTTCCCATCCTCTAAGTTTGCACCTAATTATCTTGAGGCCACACCAGCAGCTCTGCCTCCTGCTTTCTGCTTCACTCATTCAGTAAATAGTCACAAAGTGGCTGATAGCTCACAACAAAAGCTACCACTTTATAAGCATCTGTTATGGGCCAGGCATGGTGCTAAGTGCTTCACGTGCACTTTCATATTAATCCCTCATAACGACTCTTCACAATAAATTGATTGCCCCCACCTCCCTTTACAGATTAACACATGTGGGCTCACACCACTCAACTGAACCGGGATTTGAATCTAGATTTGTTTGATGCCAAAATCTCTCCACTAACCAAGTTGTCATTCCATGCCCATCTGCAGCTTACAAAAAAGCAAAATCGCAAGGAGTGTGCAGGTCCAGAAAGTCAAATGCAAGACACAACTAGAAAATAGAATTAAATGTATGAACAAGTTTGGATATTGTGCATGTTCTTGCTGATGGAATGGGAACTTAAATGACAATCCGAGGATGTCATTATTAGAGAAATAGGAGCCCTGAAGGCGCAATGGTTAAGTGCTCAGCTGCTAACCAAAAGATCGGTGGTTCGAACCCACCAGCTGCTCCCTGAGAGAAAAGACCTAGTGTTCGGCTCTTATAAAGACTGCAGCCTAGAAAACCCTATGGGGCAGTTCTACTGTGTCATGTAGGGTTGTTATGTGTGGGAATTGACTTAAGGCACACAACAACATTATTAAGAGATAGAAAAAACCTTAGCGTTGATCCTTAGAGAATGTGAGGTGCATAAAATGGGGGGGAATTGAAGTAAAAATCTCTGTGGCAAAGGGCGCAGACACAAACAAAGGTGCAGAAGTGACACGAAGAGAGACTTGGGTGATGGATTCATTGCCTTGGGCTTATTGGGAGAAATAAAGAATGAAATATTCTACTCTAATAGTTGAATGGTGAAATTGAACGTCTAAAGGGGGCCTCTTAGAATTATATTCCATATTGGAAAGTAAGAAAGAAAACCCTTTTTAGACACTAGGTAACAAAGTGTCCCATTTGAACTCAGGCTTCTGTGCAGCGTGTTTAAAAGCTTCCTCTCGCCTATCTAGCCCTCTTTGCTTTATCTTGCCTCCAGGTCTATTTTCCCTGTCTGCTTTTGCCACTCTTCAGTTCTCCCTAATATATTTAGCTGACTTTTTCCAGTAAAGAATTGAGTGACTGCCAAGTTGCCCTAGAACATGCCAGGCTCAGCCTCTCCTTTTCTTTCTCACTCACCCTCCCTCTCTGCATTTCTTATTAGTTATTGCTTTAAAGTTGTTTCTCCATTTCCTTCCCTGTCCAATTCCCTTTACTTTCCTATGGGTATTGATTCTCCCTTCCCTTCACTTCTTTGTTCCACCCCTCTGGGTGGTTTTTCCTCTTCCTAGCCTTTGCTGGGAGACCAGATGCCAAAACCTAATTTTTCAAAGCTTGTCCAGCCCAGAGGGTTTTAGGAAATAGCGTAGAATAATCAGAATGTAAATAATGTTGGTTAGAACTATTCCTGGACAAAGAAAGCCTCAAATTAGGAATCCACAGGCTAGGAAACTTCTTGTTTGCTTCCATAATGGGTAGGGTTGGGATCCTCAAACTTTAGCGGTCATCAGGATCACTGTTAAAACAGATAGCTGTTCCTCACTCCCAGAGTTTCTGATTTGGTAGATCTGTGGTGGGCCCTGAGAATTTGCGTTTGTAACAAGTTCCCAGGTGACACCAATGGTGGTGTTCCAGGGGTCACACTTTGAGAACCATTGGAGTGGGTACAGCTAGCAGAGGGCCAATGCTCAGCTGTGCCTGGGCAGTTGGGCAGAGTAGTCATCAGAGGGAATAAACTTCTGTTGCTTATCATATCCACAAACTGCTAGAGGAGCCTTGAAAGGTCTAGATAAGGCATCCAGAAGGTGCGCTGGCGTGTAGGGAGGAGGGGGGGACAAGTGGGGAAAGCTCTGTATTGCAGCCTTCTGGGAAACACCGAAGCCAGCTCCAAGCCCTGTCATACAGCCTCCCACTTGCAATCACGCATAAAAGCAGCAGAAGGGAATTCTCAGGATTACTTTGATCTCTTCTCAGCTCCCTGAGTCCTCTGTCTGTTTATCTCCCTCCTTCCCTGGCCTCCTCTTCCCCCTTCTCACCCCCTGCCCAGTGGATGATTCACTCCCCTCTCAGCTGCCTCCCCACCCCACTGCCATCTGTTTTTCTACTGATGGCAGAAGACGAGCTATTTTGTTGGCCTCCACCATAACAAAGCACACTCCATGCTAACATTGTTCAGAATGCTTTTTTTTTTATTGCTATCATTTCCCCACCCAGTTTTCCCTTTTCTCTCAAACCCCAGCCTTTACCCCTCTTTGGCCCCATGTGCATCCTGGTTTCCCAGAATTAGATCAAGAGAAGCACAGAGATACCGAAGAATAGAGGGATTAACATGCATGTGGGTTGGGCGTGTAGTGGGGAAGGGAGGGTGCTGGAAATCAATGGCAGTTAAAGGCTCTCTCTGTAGCACAAAGAAGGAGCCAGAATTATCCAAGCATTGCTGCTAAGTGGCTTAATTATTTCCAGTGAGAGATTTGGATGACAAAACCTCTTGTGACTGAGATTGGAATATTTATATTTGTCACTGGCTATTCCCTGGATGAAAGGGCTTAAGTGGGGGTAGGTGGAAACTATCCGTCCTTGCTCATGTCAGGATTCCAGGGTTATCCTCCCTCAGCAAGGCTCTGCCTCGTTCTTGACTCTTCTTTGTAATAACTCCAGTTAACCTGGCTAAGGGATTCAGAGTACCCCAAATTCCCCACTGGTAGAGGAATTCACTGTGTGAAGAGGTAGACAGGATTTCTTGAGGTAGTAAAGTCTAGTTTGGATCAATCAACCAGTGAACTCAGGTCGGCCTCAGAAGTGGCAAACACAGGATACCTACAGGATCCAAGCACTTAATATGAATGAAGGAAGCCCACCACATAAGAAGTCACAGGGAGAGGTGAGGACAGTGATGAGGGAGAGCAGTTGCCCCTTGGAAGTTTTAGTTGCTACTCAGTTGTAGCTGCTAATTGTTGCCATGGTTACCAGATATTCTTAGTTTTCAAGAGCAAAGTCTTTGCTCAGAGTTTTATATTTATTCATTTAATTGTGTGTGTATGTGTGTGGGGGAAGAGAATGTTATATATACACATATGAATTTTATGTGAAATCCCAATTTTTTAAACATTGGCAACAAAAACAAGGTTGTTTTTAGATATTGAGCTGGCAAAAAAAACCTGTCTGTGGGCCATCTGTCTGTAAAAACTTGATCTGACTAAGGTCTAGCAGGGCCCACTTACAGAATTCCAAAACCATAAATAACCCGGACTTGCTTTTTAATTTATTTTTTATTAAGTCATTTCAAATGGAACCCTGGAGCTTTTACTTTAAATAGTCAGAAACACGAATTTCTGTAAAACTGGGGTTGCAAAGTGAAATTTAAAAGAGATTAAACTAAAAGCGGAGGAGCGAGGGTGGTGGGGAGAACAGAATGTTGATTTAGATGGACTCAGGTCTCTGTGAGGTGAGCAGACCAGGGCTCTGTAGTCTGGATTTGGGGAGGGGAAGGCCGGCTTACCTCACATGACTGAATGCAGTGGATCAGGAAGGGGTCTGGGTGCCACTGCCGCCTCCCAGTACACACAATGCTCTAAAGGGGAAGAAGGAAAGGACAGTAAACAAAAACAAAGACACTTGGTCAGCAAGAGAGGAGGCAAATCCTGAGCTTACTCCACCATCCCAACCCCATCCTCTGAGTAGTGAGACACTGACTTCACCCTGTAAAGAGAAGCAAGGCTGTCTGGCATTTCCCATGGAAATACACCTAACCCTGAGGGATGACAAAACCTGTTGTGACTGAGATTGGAATATTTATATTTGTCACTGGCTATTCCTAGGATGAAAGGGCTTAAATAGGGGTGGGATGGAAACTATCCCTTCTTGCTGATGTCAGGGTTCCAGGCTCCTTCACAATCCCCTCCTCTACCTGCAAGGTAGCGAAATTTCCAGAGTGGCATAGGTATGACTGAAAAACATGCTAAATATTATAATGCACTTAATTTGGTTTTACTCACAATATTTCTTCAATTTGTTTTAAAATTTTGTTTTGCGTTTTAAATACGGTTACAGGAAGTTGTGACTTGGCTGTGTTGATCAAGAAGTACCATCTATAAGGGATCAGATTGACAACAGCAACTCAAAAAGACAGGAAACTTAGTGGGCAGTGAGTTTATGTTAATGGGGGAGGACCAGTTCAGAAAAAAGGGGGTGAAAATTGTTGGATAACTTGAAGAATATTTTCAGTGTCACTAAATTGTACATGTAGAAACTGTTGAATTGGTATATGCTCTGCTGTGTATATTCTCAACAACAACAACAAAAAGAAACAAATGAAAAAAGAAGTACTGTGGGCTTTAAAATGCTGAGAAATGTGTCTGTACAAGAAATAAGTGTCTTCAGCTGAAATGGATCTCCGAAGTTCTAGATCATAAGATGTGAATTCCCAAGCAAGGATGGGAGCTAAATTGTACTCTCTGTAACTCTTCTTAGCAACGTTTATCTCTTGTAGGGAATAAGAGAGTGTCCATACGCTGGGCAAATACAGCTGATGTGAAACCACTGGGACTCAAAATGATGCCAACATTAAAGCTGATGTGAGTGCGCACACATTATGAAACACCAGTGACCAGGGACTCAATAAATGGTTCTGAATAGACTGGGAGAAAAATGTAGAACAAAACTCAAATTCCTGAAAAAAAAAAAAAAAAGGCCAGACTTCCTGGACCAGTAGAGACTGGATGAACTCCTGAAATTATCACCCTGGGATACCCTTTAAACTTGGAATTTAAACCACTCCCGGAGGTCACCTTTCAGCCAGGTGACAGATTGGCCCAGAAAATAATAGTATCACCTGTGAGTACTGGGATCCTCTGAATAATCAACTGGATGAAACAAAATGGTAAACATTTTCCCTAGAACAAACATGAGAAGGTAAAGGAAGACAGGGAAGCTAGATTAAGGGAAACAGAGCAACCAAAATGGAGATAATAGAATGCTTATGTATTGTGAAAAATGTAACCAATGTCACAGAGTAATATGTATAGAAATTGTTACGGGAGAACCAAATTTTCTGTGTAAACTTTCACCAAAAATGCAACAAAATACTTTAAAAAATGCTCATATTGCAATGTTAAATTAAAAAGCAAGATACTAAACATTATATGCAATATAATCACAATGAAAACCATAAATGTATTTATATATGCCTGAAAGAAGCTAAAAAAAATAGCAGCTATTATTTCTGAGTGGTAAGAAATATACTTTTAATATACTTGTATATCTGCCACATTTTCTAAAATAATTTTTAATGATAAAATATTATTTAACCACATTTAAATAAACACTTTAAATATAACCAGTTTTGAAATGTTGGGTCAAGAATACCCAGTTCTGGGTTAGCAACATTACATTACTTATTAACAAACCAGAAAACCCACTGCCGTTGTGTCGGTTCTGACTCATAGTGACCCTGTAGGACAGAGTAGAACTGCCCTGTAAGGTTTCCAAGGCTATAATCTTTGTGCGTGCGTGCGTGCGTGTGTGTGTGTGTGTGTTTTAGGTGAAAGCTTAGAGTGAAAATTAGTTTCTCATTAAAAAATTTATACATGAATTGTTTTGTGAGATTGACTGCAATCCCCCCAATATGCCAGCACTCTCACCCTCTCCCTTTCCACCCCAAGTTCTCCGTATACATTCATCCAGCTTTCCTGTCCCTTCCTGCCTTCTCATCTTTGCTTTTGGGCAGTTGTTGCCCATTTGGTCTCCTGTACTTGATTGAGCTAAGAAGCACGTTCCTCTTGTGTATCAGTGTTTGTTTCATAGGCTTGTCTAATCTTTGGTTAAAAGGTGGACTTTGGAGTGGATTCAGTTCTGAGTCAGCAGGGTGTCTGGGGGCCATAGTCTCAGGCTTCCTCCAGTTTCTGTCAGACCAATAAGTCTGATCTGTTTTTGTGAATTTGAATTTTGTTCTACATTTTTCTCCGCTCTGTCTGGAACCCTCTATCATGATCCCTGTCAGAGTGGTTGGTGGTGGCAGCCGGGCACCATCTAGTTCTTCCGGGCTCAGGCTGGCAGAGGTTGTGGTTCATATGGTTCATTAGTCCTTTGAACTAATAATTTCTTTGTATCTTTGGTTTTCTTCATTCTCCTTTGCTCCGAATGTAATGGGACCAATAGATGTATTTTAGATAGCTGCTCACAAGCTTTTAAGACCCCAGATACTACTCACCCAAGTAGGATGTAGAACATTTTCTGTATGAACTATGTTATGCCAATTGACCTAGATGTCCCCCGAGACCACAGTCCCCAGCCCTCAGCCCCAGTAACTCGGTCCCTCAAGGTGTTTGGATGTGTCTAGGAGGCTTCTCTGGCTTTGCAAGGCTGTAATCTTTGTGGAGGCAGACAGCCACATCTTTCTCCTGCGAAACAGCTGGTGGGTTCGAACTGCCGACATTTTAGTTGGCAGCCAAGTGCTTAACCACTGTGCCACCAGGGCTCCTTATATGAACAAAGGGGGAGAATAAAAAGAGTAATGTCCACTGGAGCATTATTTTACTTTTTTTACAGGTTGATTGAGCTATAAATTGCCATACAATAAATTGTACATATTTAAAGTATAAAATTTTCTGAGTGTTGACATATTTATATGCTCATGAAACCATTGCCACAATCAAGATAATGAATATATTAACCCAAAAGATTCCCTAGTACCCTCTAATAGCCCATTCTTGCCAGACTCAGGCTACATATATATATATATAT